CTTACAGTCTGTGCTATATCCTGAAACTCTTCTAAGAACTTAACACACTTTAGCCTTTTCATCCTTACACATCCTTACAGCCAGCCTGCAAGACAGTTCTCAAAAAAGTTTTGCTTCCTGGGACTCACAAGCCTGTGGCCCATTCCCACTCAGACAGGGCTGACCTGTGTGCCCAAGAGGTTATTATAGAAATGATGGAGTGTGACTTCTTCCCTTCTCTGGATCAATTGCCCTGAGGGAGCCAGCTGCCATATCCCGAGGACACTAAAGCAGAGTGAGCCTTATGGTAAAAAACTGAGTCCTCCTGCCAACAGCCAGCAGCCTGGCCAACATCTTGACTGCAGTCTCACGAGGAACACAGAGTGAGGACCACCCATCTAAGCTGCTCCCAAATTATGACCCCCCAATACTGTGAGAGAGGATGTGTTTATTATGGTTTTAAGTCGTTATGTTTCAGGGTCATTTGTTATGCAGCAATAGGTAAACTATACAATTAGGTAACATTCCCATTCCCATTTTATTGATGAGGAAATTAAGGCACAGAGAGTCATAAGGTAGCAAGTGATTTAAACTGCAGTGGTTTAGATGTATACAAAGTTCATGTCCTGAATTAGAATCTCCCATTTATAGGAGATAAATGCTTTCTCCTCTGTCTTTGCCTACTTACAGAGGAGACAGCAGAGACAATGACACAAATGCAGAGAGATTGTGACAAGGAGAAATGGGCAACTGGCTCACAGCAGAGTGTGAAGGACTGGAGCCACACATCTGTAAAGTGAAGAAAGGGGACAGCGGGAGCTCCATGCCCTTGCAGTTTAGCTGTAGTTGGCTTCCCGTCTCTGGTCTCCAATCCTAGCTGAGGTACCCCCAGCCTTGGGAGTCTGGGAGTATCTGGTGGTAGGAGTCTGATGCCCCTGAACAGCTCGCACCCTGAGGCTTTTGTCTCCCTCTGCAGTCAGTAATTGTCCCAGTCTATGTCTGCCCCACACCAGAATCCTCAGTGGCAGGGATGGAGTTTTGTCCTCCATATCCCTCCCCTGGCTCAGTGCCAGCCAAAGTAAGCCAGGCAGGGTGCAAGCAGAAAGCCCTTTGGCCCTGACCCAGAGAGATTTCATCTGGTCACACCTTCCTTTAACAAGTCATCAGCAGTGACACACCAAGGACCAGGACAACCCGGTTTCTGACTTGGGACACTCTTCATTGAGTGGATCGATCCAACAATGTAGCCCAGACAGATTGGGACACACTGTGCTTGGGAGCCCAGGGGAGCAGGGCAGATCTTTGTGGAGAGGCTAGAAGGCTTCCCACAGGAGGAGGAGGCATGTGAGCAGAGGCCAGAAGATGAACAGAGATCACCTGTTCCTCAGTGCTAGTTCTAGGCAGAGGGTCCACCCTGGGAAGGGTCTGAGAGGGAAGAGTAAGTTCTTAGAGGGAAGAGTGAAGAATAAGGGTGCAGAGTGGGCTTCAGGGCCTCTAGTGGCCCTGGAGACCAGACATGGAGGCAGCAGGGGACAGGGTGTCATGCTGACAGCAGGTAGAAGGTCACTATGTGTCTATGGGAAACACACTGCATTGGGGATTGGATTTAGGAGTTTTCTTTGGAAATACAGGGGTAGGCACGTCCCATATGCTTGAGTCATCCCATGACTCAAGAGAGAGGACAGATGAAGACAAGAATTCACCTGGGTAGCAGAAACTACACCCAACTCTCAGTGTTCATTTGGCGTCTTATGCATTCAAAGGGCTGGGTTTTCTCTTTTTGCCCCTCAAAGGAATTAACAAACTCTGGTGCCTGAAAAATTCCCAGTTCCACCATCTGAGTTTGAATACTGACCGTGCCATTTATTGGCTGTGTGACCTCTCCATTTAGTTTACCCATTTGTGAAATGGAGATGCCGTAGAAATTAAAGGAGTAAAAGATGAAACAGTTAGAATGGTGTCTGACCCCCAGAAGTATACAATAAACATTAGCACTTATTACTGTTTGGTGTGGTCTTCTTTTAACATTTTCAGATATTTAAACATAATTTATCATGTGCTTTTCTTGTACCAGGTCTTGTGTTTATTCTCTGAAAACACTGTCATCCAAGGGGACAGAAACCCTCGCCAGGGACCCAGAGATGCAGAAGAGCTAGCTGGTCCCCATCCTCAGGCTGATAAGGTGACAAGTGCATAAACAGATGGTGGCAGTATAGGGTGATCCAGGCTTTGACAAACAGACAGTCCAGGGGTTGTATGAACTCAGGAAAGTGGACCAAACTGAATAGGGGTCCTAGAGAAGCTGAGAGAACTTCTGTTGAGGCGGAAGTGGAGAGACAAAGAGTAGCCCATTCTGGCAACTTGACATATGGGTAAGGTAGACAGTATTAGCAAAGATCCCCTTGGGGAGGTGGGGCAATGCCTGGGCTTAATTTGCATTCTTTATATGTTGGGAAGCCATCAAAGGTTTCTGAACAGGGAATTATGTTTGAATAATAGTAATATAACTAACATTTATTATGTACCTCCTGTATCCTGTATGTTGTGCACACACAATCTCATCTAATATAACCCTCATGGCAGCCCTAAGTGGTTAAGTACTGTCACTGCTCCCATTTTTCAGATGCAGAAAATTAGCTACAGAGGTTGAATTGCCCAAGTTCACTAGATAAGGAGGGATCCAGCCACAGTTTGACCCAATACACCCAATAGCTGTGCTTTTTTCTTTATTTTTTCCCCTTCCTTACCCGCCATCCTCTTTTTTTTTTTCCTCTCTCTCTCTGGTGCTGGAATTAATCTCAGGATCTTGTACATACTAGGCAAATGCTCTAACACTAAGCCACACTCCCAGACAATGGCTAATGTTCTTAATCTTTCTACCTACTGCCTCTGAACTTCACCCCATACAAAAATCTTAAAGCTGGAATGAATCTCAGAGACTCCCCATCTCACCGACGAGAAACTGATGGGAATGACTTTTCCAAGAACACAGAGTAGAGGAGGAGAGGCAGAGCTAGATAGATTAGTCTAGGTAGCAGAGGGGCGTCTGTCCTGGGCTTCACAACCTAGGCATTTTTGCTTAGCACAAAATCCAAACTCCTTGTTCTGGCCTGCAAAGCCCTCCTGCCATAAGGGCTTTGTGGACTCCCTGAAGCTTCTCTGATGCACACACACACACCCTTTCATCAGGCCCCAGCCCATCTAGAGGCTTCTACATTGCTATTCCTTCTGCCAGGACTACCTTTCTCTCTGATCTTCATGTCGTCAGTTTCTTTACCATTCGTTGAAATGTCACCTCCTCTAAAAGTTACCCTCTATCTTATATCACACTGGCTTTTTTTCCCCATAGCAATTAGAGTAATCTAAAATAATCTTTTTTTTGCTTCCTTGCTTTTGTGTTTTTCTCACCCTAGAGAAAAATTGAGAGGGGCCTTATATATTTTTACACTGCATCTTTGAGCCTTGAACAGAATCTGATACCTAGTAGGTGTTCTACAAGTTTTTGTTGGGAGTGCTTAAGTTCACATTTCATTATCTGTTCATGGTCTGCTCCCCATCAGCCAGGGACTTCCCTGGGGCTGGCACCATTTCAGATTCATCTTGGCAGAAGCAAGGCCTAGCACATGGCCAGAATATGCTTAAATGATCGAGGGATAGAAGGGACAATGGTAGGAGCACCCTCAGTTCTCCTAAGGCCTAAGACCTTTCCTAGTGGGGTGGCCACAGCCATTGCCACTGGGCAACCCTTTGGGCTCAGGAAGCTGCTAAGATAGGGTGATTTCAGGTCTATGGCTTATAGCCACCATGCTTCTGCTGGGAAAGAAGAAGGGCAAGAAGGAAGAGGGAGTGGACCTTACACTGGGCCTTGGCACCTGCAAGCTGATCCCATTTAGCCGTCAATGCCCTCAAATATTATTTTTTAAAGAAGGTTGTGTGGTTGGGACTGGCTTATCAGCAGGCCGCTGAAACCTAGTCCGGGTTCTGTTCTCCAATCCCATACCCTGGAGTCACTGAGGTGGAGCTACGATGCCTCAAGAGAAGGCATCCTCTACTTTGCTACAGAGGCCAGTGAGGTGGACAGAGGTCCTGTATGTGCGGCCCCTAGCGGCAGAGATGACGGTGTCCTGTCTTCTTTCTTTATCAAACCAAGATTACCTGAGGGCCCCCCAATTGTCTGCCTCTTTGCTTGGGCGGGTGAAGAATACTGAATGTGGATGAATGAACAGTCGGTGAGCCAGGCCCAAGCCGCCTGCCTCACATCCCTGCCTGTGATCGCATAAGCATGAAACAAACGCAGACGGACATAGACACATGAAACAGCTATGCATCTGGAGCTGATGACAGGTGTAGAGGTCATGGCTCATAATCCGAGCTTCTCCCTCATCGGCAATACCTGGATGCCCCAGCTCCTAGTCCCCCAATCCCACCCCCCCCACACACACACTGCACAGGCTTGTGCGCTCTGGAACATCATTTTCTCTCCCACCCTGGCTCTGCTGGGCATCCTTCTGCCTCAGATCCACCACCTCCTCTTGGAAGTCTATGTTGCTTCCCTGGGACCTGCTACTTTCAGCAGCAGGGGCCTCGCCTGGCTCATCCCTGCGTCTGCAGACCCCAGCACTCGGATGGGCCCACAGCGAGGTCGTGGGGAGTC